AAAAAAAAAAAGAAAGAAAATTGGTTGGGCAAATAATAGGTGTAAAATGCTGTGAAGATGGCAGACAAGTCACTTGATGATGACAATTCCAATAGCATTCTGAAACTCTGAAATATTTTCTCAGTGGTGAAGTCTGGGCATTTAGTGTAAAATTGCCCAAATAATGTACATTATGTCCATTAAGTAATTTCTGCTCCCCCATCCCATTCCAGCCCTCCACTTTTCCAAGACTCCGGTGTCTGTTATTCCACACTTTATGTGTGTGTGCACAACTATTCAGCTCCTGCTTCTCAGTGAGAACATGCGTGTTTGACTTTCTGATTTTGAACAGTTTCACTTAGGAAAATGGCCTCCAATTCCATCCATGTTGTTGCAAAAGACATGATCTCATTCTTTTTTATGGTTTGAATAGCACTCCAGTGTGTGTGTGTGTCACATTTTCTGTATCCCTCCATCCACTAGTGGACCCTTAGGTTGATTGTGTATCTTTGCCATTGTGAATAGTGCTGCAACAAGCATGGGGGTTCAGGTATCCATATGATATTCTGATGCGCTTTCCTTTGGATAAATGCCCAGTAGCAAAATTGCTGGAGCTATGGCAGTTCTATTTTTAGTTATCTGAAAAATCAGATAACTGAGATTTCTGGAGAAAAATTTTTGGAGAAAAATTTCTCTAACAAAATTGGTGGAGCTTATGGTAGTTCTATTTTTAGTTATCTGAGAAATCTCCCCACCGTTTTTTCATAGAGGTACTAATTTACATTGCCGCTAACAGCATGTAAGTGTTTCTTCACATCCTCACCAACATCTACTATTCTTTGACCTTTTAATAATGACCATTCTGACTTGGGGAAGATGATATCTCAATGCATTTTTCAAAAGAAGTCATATAAATGGCCAAAAAGCATCTGAAAAAATGTTCAACAGCACTCGTCATCAGAGAAATGCAAATTAAGATCGTTCTTAGAGATTTCTAATCAAATTCTTAAAAACGTGTATCAAAACTAGAGGTCTCAAAGAACAAAGAAAGGCTCATTGGTGAGTCTGTCCTTTGCGGTCTTTGAAAAACTGGGGAGAGCCATGGGGGGAGGGGGCAGCGTTCCATTATAGTTGGGAATAAGACAAATGTAGTGATGCCACTATTTACTTAATGTTGCTGTGGAAGTTCTATCCTAAGCAATAAGTTAAAAGAAACACCTGGGAAATACAAGAAAGGAAGATATGATCTATTTCATAGATAATATGCTTATCTAGCAGTCTTAGAGAAATTTACTTTTTTTAATCAGAAAGATGATCAGCTTAAAAATATCAATTAGAAAAGATATTAGGTAAAACTATTTCATGCACTGTAGCCTCAGAAAATATAAATCTAGATAAAAATGTAATAAGAAATATACAAGACCAGTAACTAAAACGAGGATGGTGAGTAGGGTAAGTAGACACATCATGTTCTCACAGATCAGAACAACTTTATATTCTAAAGTTATTAATTCTTCCTTGATTTTCTCACAAATGTAATACAATTATACCCCAAATTATATGTTTATAAGCACTTGACCAAATGATCCTAAAGTGTATTGAATAATACAAGTGGCCCTAGTAGATAAGATGTATTTGGCAATGAATAATGAAAGAAGTTATACAATCAGGTAATCTATGCAAATAACCCAATAAATCAAGAATAATTAAGAGCGTCTCTGGCATAGAAATAAGAGATCAGTGGAATATAAAATACACGATTGGAATCAGCAGATGAAAGAGTATATGGCAAAGGTCATGTTTCAAGCCAGAGGGGGAGAGGATGGTTACTCAGCATACAGTGTTTTTAAATTTGTCAACCATTTAGAAAGAAGTAAATTAGAAATGTACTTCATGCCATATATCAAACTGAACTGAAAATAGACTTGAGATTTATATGTGTGAAAGCAGAACCACAAGATAGAAAAGATACACAATCATTTATGCAATCCTGAGCTCAGGGGTCCTAGTAAATGGGACAGGAAGGCAAAAACAGGGGGCACGCGAGAAGCCCCAGCTCTGCCGGACACTAACAAAAGGGCCTCCAGCTGGGGACTGAGCCTTGCCAAGCCTCTGTGTGCTAATCTCTAAAATGGAAATATAAAAACCTACCTTGCAAAGCTGTGAGAACAAACAAATACATGGATAAAGGCGGAATTAGTTTTGACTCATCTCACACTAGTTGTCTGGAAAAACGTAAACTTCCAGAACTCGGAGACTCTTTTCCTTCTAGTATTTTTTCCTTTTCCAGGTAGTTGTAAGCAATAAGAGAAAACCAAATGATAGGGAGAAAATGTTTGACTATATTGTGTATTATTTGATCCATGCTGAGAAATAAATTATTTCTTTTATTCAGAGGCTCTGAGAGTTGGAGTCTCAGCATCCTGGTTCTATTTGGAGCATCTCTGGAGTAGAACAAGACTCTCTGTGCCGGTACCCCAGAGGGAGGGATCTGGCCTGCATTTAAGGGGTGTTTGAGCACGCAGAGAAGCTGCCTTCACTCCTCCTAAGACAGGGAGGTTTGAATTATGGTGGGGCCCTAGAGGTGTCCTTCTGAGGTTTGCACAGGGATATCTAAGCACCATGCCCAGCTTCGTGGCTGAAAGGTTAGAGCCCAGCAAGAGAAGAACAGAGGCCCCTATGTTATCCGCTCTCTTCAGAATTTGCCAGAAGCACTAAGAATCTTGGGGCAGGAAGTAGAAGAGAAAGTGTGGATGTGAGAATCTCACACACTGGATAATTTGGAGGCATTGTGCAACCTGGCATCTACCCAGACCACGTGTCCACATGGGGGTGTATCCCAACGTCACCTGAAGGGCCTTCTAAGTCCTCAGGCGGAGGCTAGCTGACCCCCAGCCAGAGCAGGTCTCAAGGCCCTCAGGGGAAGTCTTCCCTCCCCCCATCTGGGTAGTCGTAAGTCAACCGCACCCCAGATGAAGACAGCCAAGCTACACACATTTCTAAACTTTAAAACAAAATTGAAACACCTCACCTTGTGTGGCCTCCACTGCAAGTTTCTTAGATCACTCAGTTTGTGGTTTCAAGTTCAGATGAGTAATCGCTTCATCTCGTAATTTGCCTAAGTTTTCGACCCAGTGTGCCTTTGCCTTCAGCTACAGTTCAATTGATAAGGGCATATAACAAAATTAAGAATTTTGCAACTTTAAAAATTATCCAAAAAAAAAAAAATCACTTCTTGACCACAGCTGATTTAATTATTTGCTCATTATATTCTCCACCTATCTACAGTTGGGTGTTGTTGCAATCTCAGTTTACACACATTAGATACTCTTCATTTTTCATAAATATTTGTCTGTGGTTTTACCTGGTCTCCACCACTAGTTATCATGGTGACACAATAATCTATTATAAATATGGACTACAGTTTATTCGGAATAGCTTTCAAGTGTGAAACGCGTAGACTGTTGCCATTTCCGTGTTTCTTTCTACTGTGAAAACGATACCCTGCGAACATCTTGGTGTTTATTGTGTTTTCTCGTAGGCTGAATTCCAAAGAGCAGAACTGTTGGATCAAAGCCGTGTGTATCTTGATGGCTCTTGTTTTCTATATATATGAAATAATACGATGTATTATTTCTAAAACTCGGTGAGCCAAGGTACATGGCATCAGCAATGAGTAAGTGCCTCGGGTCGACTGCACCCTTACAGCACTGTCATCATTGTAATTTTTTCTTCTAATTAAAATGTCAGTCCCAATTTAGATATGCTTTCTGAAGAAGGGTCTCCAGTGTTTAATCTCAACTCAGCTTTGCAACATTCAATTAAAATTTAAAATTAGTGAACATAAATTTATGCTTATTAACATGAAAACATAACCATTACACACTGGATCATAAAATGGTGCACACATATAAAATGATCTACACATATGTATTTGTATAACATAGTTTAGCATTTCAAGAGTCAAGATTGATGGATTAAAGCAGGCGTCCTCAAACTCTGGGCCGTGGGCCACATGCAGCTGCCTACACATTTAGCCGGCACTCCAGGTGTTTTTGCCACTGCTGCCTGTCCTGCTTAGCAGCTGATTCGTCCTGGGGCCTGCAGTCCAGCCCTCCAACTGTCTGAGGGACGGTGAACTGGCCCCCTGTTTCAAAAGTTTGAGGACCTCTAGATTAAAGCATAGACATTTATCTTAGGGAGAACCTGGCAAAATAAGAATGGAGAGGAGGGGGCAACTTTCTTCTGACTCCAGACAATATGAGAAGACAGACAGTGGTTAGTAAAGGAAGCAGTCATGTCTGTGGGTCTCTACCTTCCCTGCCCAGGCTTTGGCCAGAGCTAGGGGGAAGGGAGGACCGTCTGATAAGTTGCAGAGAACCCCCCAGAGGATGTCTTTCCACAGGGCACTTCTTTACCCACTGCCAATGCAGTTAGGTTGGAGTTCTGGCAGGAAAAGATCTAGTTTGCACTCTTTTTGTCTTCTTTGTGGGACAGTCTTGATCCTTTGCTCTGAGTAGAGTGCAGTGGTAACATTTCAGCTCACTGCCACCTCAAACTCCTGGGCTCAAACAATCCTCCTGCCTTAGCCTCCTGAGTAGCTGAGACTACAGGTGCACACCACCACACCCAGCTGATTTTTCTACTTTAGTAGAGATGAGGTCTTGTTCTTGCTCATGCTGGTCTTAAACTCCTGAGTTCAAGCGATCCTTCTGCCTCAGCTACCCAGAGTGCTGGGATTACAGGTGTGAGCCACCGTACCTGGCCTAGTTTGTGTTCTTGAGTGATCCTCGGTTTGTCCTTGGCATGCAGGGGTTTGAGGAGGAGCTTGCCTGCCTGGTGCTGTCAATGCAGGAGCAGGTGCAAAGCCTGAGCCTGGGCCCTGGTGGAGATGTGGCAGTGTTAGGGTTATCTGTTCCAGTCTGCACTGAGGGAATGGTGAGTGACTATGCCCAGGGGGCACTAAGAGTGAATGAATCACAAGCACCTTAGCTACAAACCATCACAACAGATGCCAGGGACCAGGTCACCCCAACTGAGCAGACACTAGCCATGTAACAAGAACCCACAGGAGCAGCACACTCCTTGCCCACTCCGCTCCATGCCTCAAGTCATGCTGCCCCTCCCCCATATCTCTGCCACCATCTTAGAAAGGACCTCTGAGAAAGGACAAGAAACTGAAATTATATACTGGCAACATAAAGAGGATGAGTACAATCTAAAATCATGGTTCAAATAAATGGATCGCACTGAGTTTAAACTACTTTACACTAAAACATACGAACCCTTTTTCCTTCTACCTGGAAGATAAGAAGCTGGTAACAGATCAAAACAGTTTGGAGGCTAAAGAATCATTGCAGATGGCACAGCTGAGTTGTACTATAATTTTAGTGAACTGGCTAAAACGGCATCACTTCGCATTTGTAAATCTTGTGTTTATGTGCGCATGTCTGCGCAGAGAAGGGTTGACGGACAGCATGGTGAAATTTGGGGGGATTTTTAGTTTTGTTTTGTGTTCTTTTATTTGTTGTTATTTTTTTTACCATGACCCTCATTTTCCTAAAATGCAAAGTGCTATGCTGAAGATCCAACTGCTTTACTATTTCAGACCTAAATATTCATCTTGATTGAGACTGGGTAAGAAGTGAAAACCACATCAGCTTTTATATCTCTGGCCCCATGTAATTAGTAAGCAAGGACTTGGTTGCTGACCCTGGAGAACCCAGGTGCTTTCCTGAGCTTTGAACTTTAGAGCTAACAGCTCATAGGCAGCCCTGAAGCCCAACTCAGAAGGTTCTATGAGTTGATCATACTGATCATGTTGAGCTTATAGAAGTAACACAGGAATTAAAGATCATTTCCTCAAATGAAGCAAAACTGAAGTATTTTTTTTTTAATTGTGCTTGTTTTTAAGTCATTTTGAGAGGAAAAGAAAATAAGTACCAACAATTGCTGGTGAGTAGAGGCTACTATTGGCCTCTGGAGCAAGCAGCTCTGGTCTGTAGCGTATTCAGTGCTGAAGTTTAGAAGGACATTTTCTATGATTGTAAATGTGTAGAATGATGGGTACTTTTTTCTCAGCTGCTGTGGATTATGCCATTAGGAAAAGAACGCTAATAAGATCATAGGAATCACTTGTTCCTTAACTATATTTTCTGCCTCCAAAGCCCGGAATGTGTTCTGCTGATCAGTAGGAGATGTACCTGGATAGGCTCATAAAAATAGACCAACAAGTTCCACCTAAGGGACCCTACTTTTTCCTGAATGCAATCGAAATGGCTTCATATTGCTTCTCTTCCACTCTGGCTTCCTACCAGTTGTATAGCTTTTGCAAGTTTAAAATGTGAACTCACACATACCCTCTCATCTGACCCTCATGACACCCCCACAGGGTGGCACAGTCCTTACTCTGGAGATGAGTAAAGGAGGCTCAGTGTTAACAGGCTGCCCTGGTCATAGAGGTAGGATTGGTTTCTGTTCTTTCATCCTTATTCTCACTTTCACCATGCCCAAGCCTCACTTTTAGGGTGTCAGTAGTCTGTTAAGAAGCAAAAGCAATTCCTTGCCATGGGCCTTCATTATATGTTTTTCCAACTTACCTGAGAAATGCCTGTTGGCTTACATATTCATGTCCTCACACTTGGCCCTTCCGCTTAGAAAGGAGAGGACCAGTAGGAGTCCCTCTGAGGGATCAGTGCATGGCTTAACTGTCCTTCTCAGGATTCCCCCTTGATCTGGTTTTCCTCCTTCTCTACTAATTTCCTAGAGAAAGTTAGCAAAGAGCCTATGGCTCCTGGTCTAAAAAATATTGAGTCTAATAAAAAAATCTCGTTGACTAATTCCTCCTGTTTGCCCCTGAAGGAGCAAAGAGAACTTCACCCCAGTATGTGGCTCTCTGCTATAATGGGCATTTTGAATCGAAAGGCCATGGCGATCAATAGATGCTAAAGGAGAGTTTTCTCTTATCTACATAAAGACAGGGACAGGCCCACCAAAGAGAACAATCCCCCCCCACACACACACACATACACACACTGCAATCCTCTCCCTCTCCCAAAGCACAGGAGGAAGTCATTGTCCTACGTTCCCTCACCTGCCTAAAGTTCAGGCCTATTAATCAAGGAAACAGTTACCTCTGGTTCCTTTATTCTTCATTAACTGAACTCATATCACAGGAAGGAAGACTAGACTCAGTGAAGAGGCTCTTGTCATGAATCACTGTTCATCCTGTGGGCCCAACAGACTTTGTCCCAGGCCATGGCATGTTCTTCAAGCCCACCAAATTCCCCTAGAAATCATTTGCTATCCTGCTAATATCACCCACACTTCCCCATCACCTTGCGCCCTAAGAGGTAAGGCATATAAGCATGTGTACCCACTGGGTTGTTGGGCGATTGCTCTGTGATTCTCCCCCATGCATGCCGACAAATCTGTATACCTTCTTTGTCATTAATCTGCATTTTGCGAGTTGAGTTTTCAGTGACACATTCCAGGGCAAAGGGGAAGTTTTCCCTCTGTCCCTGCACCCCTGTGATGGCTAAGCTCTTTGGGGGTTGCTGTTGTCTCATGATTGATTTAATTCAGGATCAGTAGGGGCAGGAAAAGGAAAGTAACCTAGGTTATTAGGTTACTAGGTTACTGTAATTACTAGGGTGCATAATTATAATAGCTACATTTTCAAATGTTAAATTAAAAAAAATTACTACATTTCAATTTAGTGATGGGAGAAATGGACATAGAGACTAATGATCTAGCCCTAACTTTCGTATTTACTTGTGAAAGAATGTTGGATGAATTACTAAATTCTTCAATGTTCAATTTCCCCATTAGTTATGATGGACAGTAAATAATGGGGTCCTAGAAAGCCACAGCTATTTGCAGTATAATAATCATACTTATTATTAAGTATTTTATTTTTAAATAGTAATGTATTACATGTGAAAGTCATGTATAAACTTCAAAACAGAAAATGAAAAATGCCTTAAAAGATACAATGATAATAATAATTATACTATTATTACATTATTATTATTATACAGACTGTTCTCTCCTGTTTTGAATTTCTTCCTTCAAATGCTCTTAGAAATCGACATCCTCATTCTTCACTAATGTCTCACAACATTTCTCTTTCCTCTTCCCATCATGCATCATGCTGACTCTGACAACGTCAGAGCTTTCTTTCTTGACCCCCCTCACAGCATCTGTGATATGCCTTTTGAAATACATGCTGAAGAACCTCTAAAAGATGCCTACACATGGTGTCTTCACTGTGTGAATGAATAAATCAACTGGTGTGTTTCACAAAGGGTGATTATGCTTAATTGTGGAATTTTTTTTTTTTCTTCTTTTATCATAGGAACCAGCAAAATGGCAAGCACACTAGATGAGGTTCAGGCTTTGGGGACCACACCCTATGACTATGAGTTTGCACTGCCGTGTGAAAAAGTCAGTATCAAGGAGCTGGGTGCCCGGTTTCTGCCTCCTCTGTATTCCCTGGTGTTCATCGTGGGCCTCTTGGGCAATGTCATGGTGATAGTGATCCTCACAAAATACAGGAGGCTCAGGATTTTGAGCAACATCTACCTGCTCAACTTGGCCGTTTCTGACTTGCTCTTCCTCTTCACTCTTCCATTCTGGATTCACTATGTTGAGTGGAATAACTGGGTTTTTGGCCATGGCATGTGTAAGCTTCTCTCTGGCCTTTATTACTTGGGCTTATACAGTGAGATCTTCTTCATCATGCTGATGACAGTCGATAGGTACTTGGCCATCGTCCATGCTGTGTTTGCCCTTCAAGCCAGGACTGTGACTTTTGGTGTCATCACCAGTATTGTCACCTGGGGCCTGGCAGGGCTAGCAGCTCTCCCTGAATTTCTCTTCCATGAGTCCCAAGAGCTGTTTGAAGAGTCTATCTGCAGCCCTGTTTACCCAGAGGATGGGGAAGAAAGGTGGAAGAATTTCCATGTTCTGAGAATGAACACCTTGGGGCTTGCTCTCCCTCTGCTCGTTATGGCTGTCTGCTACGCAGGAATCATCAAAACGTTGCTGAGATGCCCCAATAAAAAAAAGTACAGGGCCATCCGGCTCATTTTTGTTATCATGGTGGTCTTCTTCATTTTTTGGACACCCTACAACCTGGTTCTCCTTCTCTCTGCTTTTCAAGGAATCTTTTTTGATAACAGCTGTGAGCGAAGCAGGCACCTGGACCTGGCCATGCAGGTGACGGAGGTGATAGCCTACACACACTGCTGTGTCAACCCAGTGATCTATGCCTTTGTCGGCGAGAGGTTCCGGAAATATCTGCGCCACTTTTTCCACAGGCACGTGGCCATGCACCTGGGGCGATACATCCCATTCCTCCCTACTGAGAAACTGGAAAGAGCCAGCTCTATCTCCCCATCAACGGGGGACCCAGAACTCTCCATCGTGTTTTAGGTTAGCTGCAGAAAATTGCTTAAAGAGGACGAGCTAACATGTTAAGTGAGCTGCCTTTACCTCCACACTTTTACCTTCAAACAGTACAGCGCTGAAGTTCTTGAAGACATTGAAATATGTACACAAAGTTGGCGGTACGTGCATTACTCATCACCAGCCTTGAAAAGCAGAGCTTTGCTTGATTCTCTGAAATGTTACATAAACTTTAATGCACCCAAATGGTAGTTACCATATGCAGCTACAAAAAAATAAAACTTTTATATTTCAAACTTTAACTTCAGCAGCTATTGACATAAATGAAGCATTTCACAAAATACAATAAGTTGAAATCAAGGTGTCAGCTGGGGAAAAAAATACAAGTCAATTACTTTATGTTCTAATGTGGCTGGCTCTTTCCTTGATGAAAACTTTTACTTTTTAGATGTAAATAAATAATCTCAAGCTAAGTAGTAGCATGCTGCACCTGTTTTAAATATTCAATTCTGTTTGTTTGTTTGTTTGTTTGTTTGTTTCCCCACAAGAGACTCATGGAACCCAGAAGGTGAGGTGTTCGTTGATCCTCCTAGATGCCAATGTCACATTGCAGAGTTGGCTGAGGCCTCCTGCACATAAGAAGTAGCTCAGGCGTGGCTCTCAAATTTGTTTTCAGAAACACATGGAGGGAAAATTAAAATGTGGATGGCCAGCCCCCACCTCAGAGTTTCTGATTCAGAGGATCAAGTGAGATCCAAGAATTTGCATCACTAACAAGTGCCCAGGTGATGCTGATGATGCTTGTCCCAGGACCAGACTTAGAACAACTGTTCCAGCTGAAACAGTCCTAGAGACACTCCAGAGTTATTCTTGAAACTAAGGATTTTGCCCATGTCAGTGGGAAACGCAAGAAGCCTTTGTGATCTAGGCTCTCCTAAGGATGATTGCCATCCTGGATAACCCATAAATGATGTCAATCCAGCCTAAACCAGTTGGTTTAGTGGGAGTTTCTAGTCCACCGTATTTATTGAGTTGGGTTTTTCTTGAGTGTATTTAATGCCCTGCACTAGAAACTGTGGGCGGTACAAAGATGAATGAGACTTTGTGTGAGCTACATCCCAAGGAGAAAAGCAAGCAACTTATAATGTAAAAGTATCCCCCACCAGAAGTAGGAATGACCCCGGTCTTCATTCCCTTTGCTTTCCCCTATTTGTGGCTTCTTGAGAAATTAAGTTCTAAGCTTCTGCTTAACTTGTGCCTCTCAGTAGAGACAATTCATGATAGTGTAATGGGAACCCTGCCAGCTGTTCACACAATAGCTGTCTGTGAGGTGATATGGACAGGATGCACACACGCTGCTTTAGGCTAAGTGAAAGATGCAAAAACATAATTCCTGCCCCCATGAAATGTTAGCCTAATAGGAAGTATAAGGTAGAAACAAATAACTCCAGGGTAAAGAGGGAGAAACTCAATGTAAGGCCTGGACCAGGAGGAGAAAAATCACTTCCTGCTGAAATCTAAGGAAAGGAAGATTTCCATGCAGGAAATGGCTTTGAGCCAGTCCTCGAAGGCAAGATTTGGGAAGGGAGAGGACTTGAGAGGGTGCACTTTAAGGCAAGGGAATCCAAGCCAAGGACAAGAGGGCATGCATGTCTCTGGGCAGCAGAGTACAGTGGCCAGGTTCGGATAGGCCATGAATTTCAGTCAAAGGATCTTGGGCTTTCTTAGAAAGGCAAAGAACTGGAAAAGGGTTACAGCAGCAGAGTAAAACAACCTATGTGGTACTGTGGGCAAATAAATTTGGCTAGGTGTGGGGGCTCAGGTCTGTAACCCTAGCACTCTGGGGGGCCTCGGCAGGAGGATCCCTTGAGCTTAGGAGTTTGAGACTGGCCTGAGCAAGAGCAAGACCCCATTTCCACTAAAAATAGAAAAATTAGCCAGGTGCTGTGGCAGGCATCTGTAGTCCCAGCTAATTGAGAGGCTGAGGCAAGAAGACTGCTTGAGCCCAAGAGCAAGAGTTTGAGGTTGCTATGAGCAAGGCTAATGTCATGGCACTCTAGCCTGGGCAACAGAAAGAGACTCTC